ACCAAAAACTGGTACCCAGAAGAACCAGAGAGAAGATGCTGGTGAGGGACTTTGCAAGTATTAGACAATTGTAGTTAAGGTAAGTATCATGGACTTTAGTTCCATTCCAACTAAGTCCCTGGTCACACCGAAGCAACTTTGAAATTGTACAACTTCCAGTGAAGTTGCACGATTTTGAAGGCGGATGTCATTCCGACTTGAGGTGCAACTTTCAAAACATCTGCAGCTTGCAATACACAGTTGTCTATGCAACTACCTGAAGTAGTGCATGCACTACTTTAGAAATCAGTGTGGCTCCAACCAAGTCAGAATCGCACCAATATGACCACTTTAATTGCGGACAATAGGGTGCATCTTGCCATGTGATTTGCACCTTGCATGGCATGGCAAATAGCATGGCAAATGGCAAATGTTATCTGGGTATTAGTGGTGTTATCTATGTGCAAAGAAACAAACAGAGGTCGAACGGGCCTAGTGCATTACCTTCTAAAAATGAGATTTATTGAATAAAAATAGTATACTCACAAAAGAATAAAATCAAATGCACATCACAAACAATGACAGCATGGTCCAATCTCCCTAGATGATGGCTGTTGGGGCACTGTAGGCCTCCAAATTTCTGACGCGTTTCGAGGGTGAACCTCTTCCTCAGAGCCTCTGACTTCCATCAGCCACCATCTAGGGAGATTGGACCATGCTGTCTTTTTTGTGATGTGCCTTTGATTTTATTCTTCTGTGAGTATACTACTTTTATTCAACAAATCTCATTTTTAGAAGGTAATGCACTAGGCCTTCTGTTAGTTTATTTGCACACAGCTCCTTAGCATTTCCCTGGCCCGTTGAGGGCAGCAAGGCTTGCATTTCCAAAAATTACTCCATGTGGGGTCACTGGCATTGTGGAGCTCATCGCCCAGTGCAGGAGTTTCAGCATTCATTTGCTCATGCTTTTTTATTAGTGGTGTTATCTGCTTGGCTGTTATTGTCATCCTTCACAGGAATAAATGTTTTTCATCTGGAATACAAGCAACCTGATTGCATTTCAAGCTGCTGAATCACATGTGATGATCATATAGAGTCTATTAGGTAAATGCAGAATACTTACAATATTTAGAATCTCATTCATTCTGAACCCCTCATCATCTCCAAATAAAGGAAAACAAATCCAAACAACATATTTGTAATTATGGAGTTTTTTTTATATTTATGACACTAAAAATATTTCCTTTCAGCGGTACCCCGCGCTGTTATTTTTGGTTTTACATTTTTAGTACGTGTGAAGTTAACTACATTGTTACAGGTCTGTTTACACCAGTCCTAATTTGTATAAAAGCAAACTGATTTGGTCTTGTGCAAATGTGTGTTTGCCATCAATACACTCTAGGTTGTTAGTGGAATGCTGCCAAGCTTTCTTTTCTCCACTAGCTCAAACACAACTCCCTGAAAGCTGGCTTTCATTGGCTGTTCATGATCACACAGAAGGGTCTCTGTAAGTGTGGTCTCCAATGATCAGCAGCTGCATGCTTCTTGTATAGTGGAAGCTTGTCATTTATAAGAGGCGAGAAGATGAGTGGGTGGCACCTCTAGCTGTTTTTCTTTTGCATCAGGCCCTCTTTTACTATGAAGGACCATGTCGTTAGTTGATGGTGTTCACAATTCACTTGCACTTGTGAAGGCAGCCTGACAGCTGCATAAATCACTGCTAGATACCACTAATAGATTGCTTCATACGATTTTCTAGCAGACCACCCAAGCACAGCTCAGAGGCGGCCGGAGTCACTCCAGACTTGCATACCAGTACAGTAATTTAAATCTCTCCACTCTGTAATGTGTGATAATTAAAACAAAACTTTTTTCCCCTCTAGTTAAAAAAATGAATTCAGTTCTCCTTATGAGTGATGAATGTAGAAGTAGCCTTTTTTTCTTTTTTAGCCACTTTTTGTGATTACATTTGAAATATAAACAGCATCTTTAACCAGATCAAAATCTAGTCTAGTAATTAATGATAAGCTACAGTTTATGTACATTTGCATGCATTTATTTATCCTGGTAATGTATTTGGAATGGCAGATATATCTTTTATTCAGAATAAATTTGTCATATAAAACTTGCGTTTAGTAAAATAATTGAGTGAGTTGATTTTTGTGTTTTTTATGCTTTTTGAAATGTTATAATGTATTTGTTTTAAACCTTGTATGGTATATTCTTAGCACAGAGCTACTTTAGATACCTCTGTTATCTATACCTTATGCCCCATACACATGATAAGAAAATTGTATGAAAATTTTTGCAGAACCACTGATCGAGCGATTTTCTCTTCGTTGCTGAGCAGGATGTTTTAACCGATAACGATACTGTGAACTAAAAAATCAGATTGAACAATAGTGAAACGAACGACTGATTTTCTATGCGGTGGTATGATGGTTGTGTGAAAAAAATCTATGAAGCGCTATCCCGCATGAGTGGAAACAGAAGATGACCCGGATGTTTATGTCCAAGGAATCTTTGTAAACACGAACTACAAATCCAAATGTTAAAAGTAGATTGGTCTAATGAGATAATGAAACCAGAATTCTGCATATTATATTTTATGTATCACTATTTATGTATAAAAGTAATGCAATAAACTATATTATACTCATTGCTGTTAATTGTTGTGTATATCACTCGTTCTGGCCGGAAGGACGTGGCAACAAGGTCACATGCACACTGCATCACTTCCACTTGTACGGAAGACGTCAACACTACGTATTGCCCGATGTACTAATTTTTTTAGATTGGTTAATGTGGGCCACAATTTTGACCAACAAACGAACGCCTCTTGGTCATCGGATGACCGATCAGTCGATTTTCTAATCGTGTATTCCCACCTTTAGAGATAGACATTGCAGACTGGCATTGCAGCTTTCTTTCTGAAAGTGTTACCAGCGTGACTTTTTAAGTGTAATAAAAGACAAAACTTTTTTTAGTTTTGGATAGAATGGAGAGGAATCAGAACACCTGTAAGTTTTTATTGCTGTTTGTGCCCCTATAAGGAGATGCACTCTATTTGTCTTTTTTTTTACCATTATCATTAAAAGTTAAAGTAAAAGAAAACCCCAAACTTTATGTTGACACTTGAACAGTAATAAAGGTGAAGTCTTCCAATGGTGACACTCTGGACTGTTTCTGTTTTGGCTATGGGATGGGAAGTGAAGACACATCTCCCCTACTAGATACAGATGGCATAAAAAAAAGTTATAATCCTCCCTTACTCTATCCAAAATGAAAAAATTCCAAAAGCCCAACTCCATCCCCCCCTCCCCCTTCCCCGTTTATTGCCTCCTATCCACCTTGAAGTACCTCCGAACCCTCAAAAAAAATAAAATAGGTACAGTATACAATTTTTTTTGTCTCTTTTTTCCTCTCTACTATCCCCAACGGTTGGTGGGTCTATGAGGACATGGCGCCACGCTCTACAGCAGTGGTGTGAAACTGATGACCCTTCAGCTGTTGCTAAACTACAAGTCCCATGAGGCATTGCAAGGCTGACAGTTACAAGCATGACTCCCAAAGGCAGAGGCATGATGGGACTTGTAGTTTTGCAACAGCTGGAGCGCTGCCAATTAGATACCCCTGCTCTACATTTCCCTGTCCTGATACTTTGGTCTCATAGGAAGTGGACTGAATTTTTCCATCATTTCACTAATAAAAGTAGCACTACCTAGTGGTGAAGAATACTTTCTAGGGGAGCAGCTAAAGCTGTTTTTTATTCAAACTGTTAATGGGAATTATTTTTTAATGCTGAAGTTGGGCTTAATCCTTACTGTACAAAAAATTATTGCACAGTGTCAGAGCAACAACATGTACTCAAGGTACCGCAGATGACTATCAGTAGATCCAGTCTTGTTCTGTGCTGATGTGGGTTATATACGGGGACATATTTAGATATCATGTTACCCTAGGCAAACTTTTGTACAAGCTGTCCCCAATTTATAAAAATGTATAGAGTTGTCTAGCAAGATGTGACTTCATCGGTGTGCAGTTGTTTGCTTCTTTTGTGGTATCCCCAATTTATATATTTTTACCGTATTTTTCTCTCCATAAGACGCACCTGACCATAAGACGCACCTAGGTTTTAGAGGAGAAAAACAAGAAAAAAAATATTCTGAACCAATGGACTGCAGACATAGTACAGGAGATGACCAGGGACTGCGGACACAGTACAAGAGATGACCAGAGACTGCGGACATAGTACAGGAGATGACCAGAGACTGCAAGACATACTACAGGAGATGATCAGAGACTGCGGACATAGTACAGGAGATGACCAGAGACTGCGGATACAGCACAGAAGATGACCAGAGACTGCGGACACAGCACAGGAGATGACCAGAGACTGCGGACACAGCACAAGAGATGACCAGAGACTGCGGACACAGTACAGGAGATGACCAGAGACTGCGGACATACCACAAGAGATGACCAGAGACTGCGGATACAGCACAGGAGATGACCAGAGACTGCGGACACAGTACAGGAGATGACCAGAGACTGCGGACACAGCACAAGAGATGACCAGAGACTGCGGACACAGTACAGGAGATGACCAGAGACTGCGGACACAGTACAGGAGATGACCAGAGACTGCAGACACTGTACAGGAGATGACCAGAGACTGCAGACACAGTACAGGGGATGACCAAAGACTGTGGACACAGTACAGGAGATGACCAGAGACTGCACACACAGTACAGGAGATGACCAGAGACTGCGCACACAGTGCAGGGGATGACCAGAGACTGCAGACACAGTACAGATGACCAGAGACTGCAGACACAGTACAGGAGATGACCAGAGACTGCGGACACAGTACAGGGGATGACCAGAGACTGCGGACACAGTACAGATGACCAATGACTGCGGACATAGTACAGGGGATGACCAGAGACTGCGGACACAGTGCAGATGTCCAGAGACTGCAGACACCGTACAGGAGATGACCAGAGACTGCGGACACAGTACAGGGGATTACCAGAGGCTGCGGACACAGTACAGATGACCAGAGACTGCGGACATATTACAGGGGATGACCAGAGACTGAAGACAGTTAAGGGGATGACCAGAGACTGAAGACAGTACAGGGGATGACCAGAGATTTCGGACACAGTACAGATGACTAGAGATTGCAGACAGTACAGGGGATGACCAGAGACTGCAGACAGTACAGGGGATGACCAAGAGACTGCAGACAGTACAGGGATGACCAAGAGACTGCAGACAGTACAGGGGATGACCAAGAAACTGCAGACAGAACAGGGGATGACCAAGAGACTGCAGACAGAACAGGGGATGACCAAGAGACTGCAGACAGTACAGGGGATGACCAAGAGACTGCAGACAGAACAGGGGATGACCAAGAGACTGCAGACAGTACAGGGGATGACCAAGAGACTGCAGACAGTACAGGGGATGACCAAGAGACTGCAGACAGTACAGGGGATGACCAGAGACTGTAGACCTTTGGGGAGGGAGGGGTAGCGGGTACCTGAATTTGACAGTTGTCCTCCCTTTAGTGTGGGCACCCGGCTGTGACTGCCGTGTGCCCACTGCGCATGCATGAGAAGCGCTGCACTTTGTGGATGGCCTGGTGTCTTCTGGGACACATGACAGATCCCAGAAGACACCGGGCCATTCACAAAGTGCGGCGCTTCTCAAGCACACTAAAGATGCCGGCACGGGAAGACTGTACAGCGCTGGACCGAGGAACAGGTAAGGTCCTGCTGCAGAGAAGAACTGAGCGGCCCGGTATTTCCGCCGCCAACACCATGTCAGAATACCAGGCCGGCCGCTCCATATTCGCTCCGTAAGACGCACTGACATTTTCCCCCCTTTTTTGGGGGGAAAAAAGTGCGTCTTATGGAGCGAAAAAAATACGTTACTAGGCTAACACTGTGGGGTTGGTTTACTATAACTGAAAAGTGCAAAATCAGGTCCAGCTGTGCATGGTAGCCAATCAGCTTCTAACTTCAGCTTGTTCAATTAAGCTTTGACAGCAAAAAAAACTGGAAGCTGATTGGTGCATAGCTGCACCAGAATTTGCACTCTCCAGTTCTAGTAATTCAGCCACTATGTATTGTTACTGAGAGTGCAGATTTGTATGGCATTGTTTGATATTTTTGCTCATCATAGTTCTAATACAAGTGTTCAGAGACTGCTGGGAGTTGTATGCTGATAGCAGAATGTTCTCTACTGTCAAGCTGAAAACAAACTACAGTGTCCAGGATCAATCATCGGGGGGCAGGAGCAGATAAAAGCAAAAGCCCAGGAACACTGGAGGGGAGTTGGGAGAAAGACTTTGCTTGTGGATGGCGCATGTGTTAGGGCTCATGTACACTGCAGCTGATAAACTCACATTTAGGAGCTGTTCAGCGTTTTTTTCAGCAGCCCTTGAACTCTCCCTAATATTTTCCTATGTGTCCATGTACACATCTTCGTTTACAGACGTTTACAGGCATTTGGGTTTACAGTTGTTTTTTTGAACACAACAAACTTGTGTTTAGACGTTGATTTTATCAGCGTTTCAAACGCAAAACACTTGCAAACTTGGCTAAACGCGTCTAAACGCAGCAAAATTTGTTTATAAGCGTTTGCGTTTGAAATTTTTTTTTAACTCTTCCATTTCCCAATGCTGTTCAGAGCCTTTTTTCATCATGAAAAATGCATGGAAAGAGTTTTCAAGGTGCTCAGATGGACAAAACACTTAACAAAGGATGCTCCTACCAAGCTCCTTACACATTGTAATGACCAATTCACACCTCAGACCTCTCCCACCCTTGGAAATAAAAGATATGTTAATGCCCATTCACACCTCAAATTCCTCATGTGGACCCCCTGCCAGGTGACCTTAATGACTCACTCCACCAACACCTTCCCATCCTTGGAAAGAAAAGAAATGTTAATGAGCAACTCCCATCTAATTACCTCAACACTTACTGCTGTCTCTGCTTCTACTGTGTATTTCTCTGCATTTGTGTGCATTCTGGGCATTTGGGAGGTTCTCCTGTGCTTATCTTTATAAAACGCTTCTAAACGCAAACGCCCATAAACACGCATAAATGCGTTATGCAAACATGGCTAAACAGACGTTTTTTTACCTACGTTTTCCAGCAGTCAGTTTCCATTGTTCAGAAACGTCCCGTGTACATGGGATCTTACAGCTGTGTCGAGCTGCATGGGCCTGTACTGAGTCAGCTGGAACGTGCAGAGTTGCTGGGGAAGCCGCAATCATCACTGTAAATCGAGTGTAAGAAGCCAACCTGTGGAGACCTGTATACTGTAGAAGTGTGAGAGCCAACACCTTCACAGCCGCATCTTCAAAAGGAAAGGGGGCCCCCCATCATCGGATGCTCATCGTTTTGCTTATTGTTACAAAAGGACTGGGTAAGAGGGTCTCTGACCCACCTAACATTATATTCAGTTAAAAACAGTTGCTGCCTTTTGGGTTCTTCAAGTTCAAAGAGCAGGGTCCTCTGTTTCCTCTTGTACCAAATTGTATTGTAACTGTAATGTCTACCTTCATTTTGTAAAGTGCTGCTCAAACTGTTGGCACTATATAAATCCAGTATAATAATAACTAGAAAAGCTACAATTTCTGGGGAAATTGTGTGAAGTGTTCTTGCCTCCACCAGTAGTCTACAACTGGAGTGGGCGGCGGAGTAACTGGGTGGAGTGGCTTGAGTAACTGTTGTGTGGTTGAAGTGGCTGGAGTAACTGTGAAAAGGTTGGACTGGGCAGAGTAACTGGTTTTGAACATTCCGCCATTCATTCCTATGGGACCAATTTCACCACAAAAAAGCCGATATTTCATGAACCATTCGGCGAAACGTTCCACAAAGTAATAACACCCCAATCGGGAACAATCCACACGTTTCGGTATATTACTGTCTATGTAGTGTAAAAACTGTGGGAGAGTTAGGGTGGTAAATTTGGCTATAATAATAAGAATATGTATGTGAGATAACAATAAGTGGTCTTGCCATGCAAGACCCGATGCCGCTCGAGCCAGTCAACACTTAATCACTAGAAAAGCTACAATTTCTGGGGAAATTGTGGGAAGTGTTCTTGCCTCCACCAGTAGTCTACAACTGGAGGGGGCGGAGTAGCTTTTGTCACTCTGCTGGCTGCTCACACACCTGGGTTCCTATGGCAACTCACTCTACAGCAAGGGCAGAGGCGCTGTCACGAATGGACTGGCCAGCAATGGTGGGACTCACCTGCCTTTTGATCTGCAGTACCAGGGCTGGCCAGCGGGTGCTCCCAGCAATCAGAGACTCAACCTTTCAGCCAGCTAACACCTGGAACTGATGATGCTGGGGTATTTAAGGGATGGCCAGACCCACAGACTCTGCCTTGGTGTTGTGTTTGTCCTGGGCCCTGTATCTGTCCTGCATCCTGTTTCCGTCCCTTTGCTGACCCTGCCTGATCTGAACTGCTGCTGACTTCTCCTGCTCTGATCCCTGGCTTGTGACCCTGACCATCCCTCTGCCTGACCCTCTGTACTACGCTGCTTGCTACCTGTTTTGATCCCTGGCTTGTGACCCTGACCATTCTCTGCTTGCTCCCCCCTGTACCTATGTCTCTGAAATATTAAAAATGAAGGCACAGTCGCAGTTTAGAAATTTCCCTTCAAATTTCAGGTGTCTAGAGTGGAGTTTCAATGAATGTCAATGGGCGGCGTGAGTTGCAAACAAATGGTCATATTGTGAAAACTATCAGGACTATGGCTTAGTCGTGAACATTTTTAGTGGCAGCAGGGATAGCTGAATGTTATGATATAAGATTTGTGTAGGTGGGCTTGAAAATGAGGAGTGATGGCAGTTTAGAAATCATGTTCTGATTTTTCATCTCACACTCTAACTATTGTCAGCTCCCACTCTAGTTTTGAACATTGCGCCATTCATTCCCAAGGGACCAATTTCACCACAAAAATGGCGATATTTTGTGAACCATTCGGCGAAACGTTCCACAAAGTAATAGCACACCAAACGGGAACAATCCGCACGTTTACGGGAACAATCCGCACGTTTACGTATATTACTGTCTATGTATTGTAAAAACTGTGGGAGGAGTTAGGGTGGTAAATTTGGCTATAATAATAAGAATATATATGTGAGATAACAGTAAGTGCTCTTGCCATGCAAGAACACTTAATAAGAATTCTGCAGCATAGTCCTTTTCTAGTGATACATGTGCCAGGGCCTCTTATTGCTGCAGACAGCCACCCTTCAACTGTTAGCCATGGCTCCCTGCTAGGCAGAACCCTGTAACTGCATCCATTTATGTTCAAGCTATCTAAGGAAGGAAATTCTTAAGCCCTGGTATACACTGGTTCCGACTTTAAAATCGTGCAACTTCACTTGAAGTTGCAGGATTTCAAAGTCGCCTGTCATTGCGACTTCAGGTGCGACTTGCCAGACATCTGTGCGACTTCATGCACGGATGTCTATGCAAGTTGCACCTGAAATCCTAAAAAATAGTGCAGGAACTACTTTCAAAATGGCTATGATAGTTCATTGAGAACTACAAGCCTCTAAGGATGTTGGTATTTGTAGTTCATTCATTCACAGAACTCTGTGAATGAAGGATGCAGCCGTGTGGGCAGAGCTGTTTTTAAAAAGTGACAGAAGTTCCCTGTACTGCTGTCACAGGAAGAGGTATATTGTGTTTCTTCCACATTTAAAACAAGTGGACCATATCTGGTTCAATTCCTGAAAGCTCCACCACCATGAACTCAAACTGTAATAGGGACCCATAAATATGTGTCAAAGATTAAAATTCTTAGTGAGCCTAATCCTATTAGACAAGGCATCTATCAAAACTGTACAAAATCTACATACCATTTACTTAAAATGATGGAAAGAGTAAAAGTGGAGCCTAAGGCTCTCCCTTAAAGATTAAGTTCACCTTTAAAAAAGATAATAAATGCACATTTTTTTGCAGGTAAAAAAATATGCATTTATTATTTTTTGTTTCTGGAGCCTCTAAAGTGATCAGCAGATCACTGGTGCCATGCAGTTCTCCCTCTGACCTGTCAGTGTATCTAATTGCTCGTACATCCCATATGGATCCCAATGCTTAATGAAGTACCAAGGCACTGTGGAGCGCCGTAGTAGTTCACTGAAAACTACAACCAACAGCTGCAAAGTCTGTTGGAACCAGGGATGGACTGACCATTTGGAAACTCAGGCACTGCCCGAGGGCCTGAGGTCAGTAGGGGGCCCCATGAGATGCCCCTGGTACATTTTTCATAGGCTTTTTTGAGTTTGGGCAAGGACACAGGGGCCCCATGATCCCCTATTACCCGGGGGCCCCATGAGTTGTCAGTCCGCCCTTGGTCGGAACTTGTAGTTTTCCTATTCGCAGAATACTGTGATTGAGTGACGTGGTCAGGTGGAGCCCGGCCGTTTTTTTAATATTGTGACAGCTAGCGGGGAGGAGAAGATCCAACACTTGCTGTCACAATGCGGATTAGGGGGGGTGTGTGGGCGGCGGTCCATTCGTAACATGGTACATGTTACACCCTGAATATAGACACGGTGAACTTACCTTTAACTTTAATCCATCTAGACCCTTTGGAATCCTCCTAACAATACAGAATATGTAAATAGTAATATTAAAGGGCTTACTATAGGCAAAATAAAGGAAAAAAGCACATAAAATAAGAAGTAAGTAGAAAATAATCTTCCTTGTATCATACAATATAT